GCGCCGGGCGCAAACCTCGGGCCCCCGGGGTTCCTGCTCCTCCACCGCGGGGCCGGCAGTCCGCTTCCTTCTCCGAGGCCCGGACACCCGGGGGAGGTATGGGGGGGGGAGACCCCGCTTCCCCAAGGCCTCGCTTGGCAGGTGATGGCCGCCGCCGCCTCTGGCTGGTGGGGGGCGACGCGGTCCCCGGCTTTTCCTCAGGGGCTCCTGGGTGCGCGTTGCCTTGGAGACCCGTTTTATTTTGGCTTAGTTGGTTTTTTTTTTTTTTTCCCTTCCCCTTCTTGGTCAGCGTTGGTGCAGAGTGTCAGGTGAGCCGCATCCCGGTGCGTCAAAGTGGCCCGAGTCACGGGAGGACAGTGGGCGGATGTTTTGGCGGCGGCCACCGCGGCCGGCTCGCGTTGTAACAGCCCAAGTTGGGAGATTGGGAAGCGTTGACTTCTCTTTCGGCATCGTGCGCTTCCAGGGTTATGCGGGGGAAAGCACAGCAGCAGCGAGAAGGAAACCACCTCGGGAGCCAGAGTAAAGTTCATTGCTTATTGAAGGAAGGGAGAAAAGACGCCGCCTTGCCTTGCCGGGTTGCAGAGTGACTGGGGAAACTGAGGCTGCAAGGGCAGGGGGAGGGGGGCTCTCGTTCTGCAGGGAGACGCTGTTTGCATGTAATTGATCGTGTGCTGGGATGGTCAGTGATTGCCCGTGACCAATATGTTCGTTTGAAACTTGGACTCCTAATGAATAGGAACATTTTGGACAGAGCCAGCTACTTTATAATAGGACTTGAAGTTAGCCCAGACATTACTGCTTTACTACATGCTTTTTATTTATTTATTTATTTATTTATTTTTTGGTCCGTTTCACAAGGGTTCATTGCTTACTCAGGGAGGCAAGTTGTCACTTGGAATTTTGTGTTGTTAGCTTTATTTAGGCAGCACGGGCTGGAGGCCAAGCTGCTTCAGCCTCCGAGAAATTGCTAACTTCTCTCTGAAGGTTTGCTGTATTGTCAGTCACTGATAAAACCTAAAATCAATCCAGAAACATCGCCTACAGACTTGAAACGAATTGACGGGAGGCCTGCAAAATTCAGTTACCAACGATGGAAACTGATGTGTTTCCTTTAGGCTAGGGATTATTCCTATGATTGTCTCGTAATTAAGCAAGCAAAGTGAAAATACATCCCCCCCTTTTTTTTTTTTTTTAAGGATACAGGGAAAAAAAATGTGTGTTGCTGCTGTTTGATGTAATATTGATATCCAGTTGAAAAATCTGCATGTTTTTAAACATTCAATGCATTGAAGCATTCCCTTTGTTCACCTTTATAAAGAAAAGTAAAATGGGCAGTGAAAACTTGACCAATATTGAATGATTGAGTGGAAAGATACCATTGGTCAACACAGCTCGAGGCTCAAATCCTGATTTCTCCTGAATATGAAGAATACGTACATTCAGGGGATTAGATTTGTACTGAAAAGGAAACGTGTTTTTACAAAGATAGAGTAGCATGCGCCCATTACCCAAACTTAGAAGCTTTCAAGATTTTCTTTATCTTTGTCATTTTATCCTGTAGTTATTTTATCTCTTATTACAAAGTGGAAAGTTTCTTGTATAATCTTAGAACTTTTAGAGGTGTGTGTGTGTGTGTGTATGTATTAGGGAGTGGACCAACCGTTTCACACGTTCTGAGCATGCTCTCTGCCATGAGGGCGCATGCGGTCTCTTTTCAGTTTTAATTCATCTTTAATATAGAGTTTCCCAGCGTTCCATCATTTTAGTAAAAGAACATGTATTGTTCGTCATGAACTAAATGTCCTTTAGTATTACAGTGTATCTCCCGTGGTGGTCATCTATAGAGCACTTGCTAGTTTTAGAGCCTGTGCTCAGTGTTTATACGATTACTTAAAGTGTATGAAGTCCTTGGAAGTAATTAATGTCCTCCCGTCAGATAGGTAAGTGAAATGTTAAATTAGGGTTTAACTACTCTAGGTCTCAGAGTTAATAAGTATGAGCATCCCATTTCAGATTAGGATTCTTTTTAACTTTAGCACCAGTGTTCTTGTACATACATCTTGGTTCAGGCAAAACAGATTTGTATGGGCATTCAGTGTGTGTGTGTGTGTGTGTGTGTGTGTGTGTATACAAATGAATTACTGTGTTTACATTAGGAGAGGATGAGCTGGCTTTGTCAGCTCCAGGAAGGGACTGTCAGGACCAGGGTTTGCAGGTTTCCCTGGGAGGACAGAAGAGTGCTCACCACCAAGCTGTGTCTGGAGTCCCCAGTTTACACAG